ATGTAGTACAGTCCTGCTCTAATATATGTAAAGAGAAATCTGGGAGAGACTTTAGGGAAAGATTATTCTCCCTGGGTAAGAAGCAGCATGAGGAGGGGCGCCTAGTTGGTTAAGCATCTGCCTTCGGCTCGCATAGTGATCCCGGAGTCCTGGGATTGAGCCCCTTTTCAGGCTCCCTGCTCAGTGGGGAGTCTGCTTCTCCCTCTCCCTCTGCCCCTCCCCCTGCTTTCTCTCTCTCTTGCTCACTGTCAAATAAATAAAATCTTTTTTTTTTCTTTCATTAAAGAGGCATGAAGATAAATTCTCCAGCTTTGGATATAGTTGTGTAAGGACAGAATGGTTGTAGCAACAGCAGTTCCTTGAGACTCTGAGGGGAAAAATCTGAGAGGCTGGGTTTTTGGTCATGCAGTTATCCTAGAACCACCCATTTTTCCAACTTTTTTTATGTGAAATTTTCTTTTAGTGTTCTGGTATTTACAAACCAAAGTATCCTGTACAAGGTAGCTAACATTTAAGAAGAAACAAAAAACAATACTGCAATAAAGATTCTTGAGTTTTCTCCTGTGTCTGAGTGCAAAAGTTTCTCTAGGATAGATGCATTGATAGAAGTGGAATTTTACAGCTGTAGAGTATGTTCAAATTCACTTTTAGTAGATATCAAATTGCTTCCCAAAATGATTGTACCTATAACATATGCTCCCATCAGCAATGTGCAGTAGTTTCTACTTCTCTACATTAGATCTTTGCTTAACACATCTTGTCAGGTATTTTTGTCTATTAATGTCTTGGTGCATTATCTGTGTTAGTAATTATGTTACTTTTCAACCAGCTGTCCTCTTTTTTTTTTTTTAAGATTTATTTGTTATTTTAGAGAGCGAGAGAGGGAGAGCACTTGAGCAGTGGGAGGGCAGAGGGAGAGAGAGAAGCAGACTCCCCACCCAATCTCACAACCCTGAGATCACTACCTGAGCCGAAACCAAGAGTTGGTTGCTCAACCGGCTGAGCCACCCAGGGGCCCCTGTCCCCTTCAGATCATTTGTATAGTTGTCTATGCAGTATTGGAGTTTTTTCTGTATTGATAAATATGTTTTATATATTCTGGGTACTGATCTTTAATATGCATTGTTTACATATACACATTGCAAAGATCTTCTAGTTTATGGCTTGTAATATGCTTTGTCTATGGTGTTCTTTATTGTAAAGTAATATTTAAAAAATTAAACTTTTCTTTAAAGGTTTGTGCTTTCTGTGTCTTACCTGAAAAATCTTTCCCTAAAGTCCTAATATTTTCCTAAATTTTATTCTAAAACTTGAAAAGAATTTTACTCTTCCCATTTAGGTCTTTATTCCTTTTGGAGTTGATTTTTGTGTATGGTGGTAGGAAGAACCGCTTATTCACAATCAGTATTGACTTTCTTTCTGAATTCTGTTCTGCCCTCTTGTGTATTTGTCTGTTCCTGTGCCAGTTCTGTATTATTTTTGTTAATGTAACTTTATAAATAAGTCTTTGTTAACTTGCTAATCTTTCAAATTGTATTATTGTCTTTGGGTTTTTGCTCTTCATGTGAATTTTTGGATAAGCTTGTGCAGTCTTAACCAAAACAAATAGCTACTAGGATTTTAATTGACACTGAATTAAATTTGTACACTTGGGAAGACTTTATATACCATGTATCTCCTCCAAGTAGGTGCTATCTCTCTAGTTTTTGTAGTTCTTGACTGTCCTTCAGTAATATCTTACACATTTCTTTTTTTTAATGGCCTTGTTCTGTTTATTTCTAGAAGCCTTATAATTTTTGTTAATTACATTTTCTAACTGGTTTTCACTGAAGAAAATTTTATTTTTTATTTATTTTTTATTTTTTAAAGATTTTATTTATTTGACAGAGACACAGCGAGAGAGGGAACACAAGCAGGGGGAAGGGGAGAGGGAGAAGCAGGCTTCCTGCCGAGCAGGGAGACCGACGTGGGGCTCGATCCCAGGATCCCGGGATCACGACCTGGGCCGAAGGCAGACGCTTAACGACTGAGCCACACAGGCGCCCCGAAAATTTTATTTTTAAAAACTTTTTCACTGGCTGCTTCAGTGGCTCAGTAGGTTTAGCGTCTGCCTTTGACTCAGGTCATGATCCCAGGAGAGATCAAGTTGGGCATCAGGCTCCCTGCTCAGTGGGGGTCTGTTTCTCCCTCTCCCTCTGCCCCTTCCCCCTTCCCCCTGCTCATGCTGTCATGTGCGTGCGCTCTCTTTCTCAAATAAATCTTTAAAGAAATAAAAAATAGCTTTCTCATTGAAATACAGTATGTATATAGAAAAGTACACAGAGTATAAATACAATGAATTATCACAAAGTAGGCATATTTGTGTAACCATTACTTAGAAAAGAATGTTACTTCACTATCCAAATCCAATTATTACCCTCTACCATCCTTTCAAAAAGTCATCATTGGGGCGCCTGGCTGGCTCAGTCTGGAAGAGCATGTGACTCTTGATCTCGGGGTTGTGAGTTCAAGCCCCATGTTGGGTGTAGAGATTACTTAAAAATAAAATATTAAAAAAAAAGTCATTGTTTTGGTTTAGTTTTACCCATTTTTAACTTTATATAAATACATATTGCTTATTATATGCTTTGTCTGTGGTGGTCTCTTTAGTGTTTGCCATCTTTTGCACAGTCTGTTTATGAGATTTATTTGTGTTGATGTGGGAAGCCATAATTTCATTTTCATTCCTATGTCATATTCCATTGTAAGATTATTCTGTTTGTCCATTCGACATTTGATGAACATTTGGCCATTTTCCTGTTTTAAGCTATGATGAATGATGATTGTGCTAACTTTCATGTTTGTGTCTTTTGATGTCACTGTGCATGCATTTCTGTTGAACATATACCCAGGATTAGAATTGCTGTGTGAGTGGATATGCTTATGTTCAGCTTCTGGGAGATCCTGTCAAACATTTTTCCAAAAGATACCAGTGTATGGTCAGTCCCACCAGTAGTGCATTCAAATTTGAGTTAACTCCATATTCTTAACCTACATCTTTTGTATTTTATTCACTCTGGTGGGCATATAGTAGTACCTGTGATTTTAATTTATATTTCTCTGGTAACTGTTGAGGTTGAGACTCTTTATATGCTTAGTAATTTGGCTGTTTTCTTATGAAGTGTCTGTTCAGACTTCCTGTCCATTTCTCTATTGAAATATCTCATAATTTTCATATTGCCTTGTAGAAATTCCTTATGTATTTTTTTTTAAAGATTTTATTTATTTATTTGACAGAGAGAGAGATAGCGAGAGCAGGAACACAAGCAGGGGGAGTGGGAGAGGGGGAAGAAGGCTTCCTGCCGAGCAGGGAGCCCGATGTGGGACTCGATCCCAGGACTCCAGGATCATGACCTGAGCCGAAGGCAGACACTTAACGACTGAGCCACCCAGGCGCCCTCCTTATGTATTTTTGACTGGTAATATTGTGATAATCTTTTCTCAATCTGTGGCTTGCCTTTTTTATTTTTTTTTCAGATTTTATTTTTAAGTAATCTCTATACCCAACGTGGGGCTCGAACCCACAACCCCAATATCAAGAGTCACATGCTCTACCTACTGAGCCAGCCAGGTGCCCCTCGCCCCCATTTTTGTTTTAAAGATTTGTGGCTTGCCCTTTTGTTTTAAAAAAAAAATTATTTGAGAGAGAGAGTGTGTACGATCGGTCAGTGGGAGAGGCAGAGAAAGAGGGAGAGGGGAACCAGACTCCCGCTGAGACCAGTGCTCATCATGGGGCTCCACCTCACAACCCTGAGATCATGGCCCGAGTTGAAACCAGGAGTTGGACGTTCAACCAGCTGAGCCACCCAGGGGCCCCTTGCCTTTTTAATCTCTTAATGATATCTCCTGATGAACAGAAATTCCTTAATTTTAATTGTAGTATACTTTATCAGTTTCCCTTTATGTTTTTTATGTTCTATTTTGAACGTCTTGAAGCTAGTCTCCCAAATCTTCCAGATCTACACTTTTCAGTATAGTAGCTCTTAGCATGTGTGGTTATCGAGCACTTGAAGTGTGGTTAGTCTGAATTAAGATGTCCTGTAAGTGTAAAATACGTGCTGGATTTCAATGAAATAGTATTAAAAAAGAATGTAAAAATCTCACTAATAGTTTTTATATTTTTATATTTATTACATGTTGAAATGATAATATTTTGCATTTATAGTGAGTTAAATAAAATGCAACATGAAAATGACTTTGACCTGTTTATTCTAGAACATTTTAAAATTAATTGACTCGTGCATTTCTGTATTCTAGAAGTGTGCTGTCGAGTAGAACTTTCTGTGATGATGGACATATTCTGTATTTACACTGTCCAGTATAGTAGCCATGAGCTGAAAGTGTCTGTTGAGCATTTAAAATGTAGCTAAGGTGATTGAGAAACTGAATTTTAAATGTGGTTAGTTTAAATTTAAGCAGCCATATATGGGTAGTGGCTACAATATTGAATGGCACAGTTTGGGACACTTTATTGCCTTAACATTTATTGTTTTTTAGGTTTATGATCTGTCTGAATTGATTTTTATATATGGTGTTAGGTAGGGGTCAAGTTTTATTTATTTTTTTCTTCCAAATGGAAATCAAATTGACCAAGCACCAAGGAAAAGAGAATGTTTACTATTTTTAGACTCTGTTTTGTTTCTTTGGTATATTTGTTTCTTCTTCCACCAAATACCTCACTGTCTTTAGTAGCTGGTAGAGTAAGTGCTCCTATCTTGTTCTTCATGAATGTCTTGACCATTATTGGACTTTCCTTTTTCCACATGAATATTAAAAATACTTCATCAATTTTCACAGTTTCTTCTGGGATTTTCATTGATATTATATTGGATCTATATCACATCCAGTCATGAACATGATATAGCCATTCATTTATTTAGGTCTTTTCATTTCTCTCAGTAATATATGATCTTTTATTTATGTAAAGGTCTTGCACATTTTTTTTTTTTTTTTTTTGACAGAGACACAGCGTGAGAGGGAACCACAAGCAGGGGGAGTGGGAGAGGGAGAAGCAGGCTTCCCGCTGAGCAGGGAGCCCGAAGCGGGGCTCGATCACAGGACCCTAGGATCATGACCTGAGCCGAAGGCAGACGCTTAACGACTGAGCCACCCAGGCACCCCGGTCTTGCACATCTTTTGTTAGATTTATTCCTAGCTATTGGTACTGTAAATGATAATGTTTTCTAATTTCACTTTCTAATTATTACTAGTATATAGAAATAAATTGATTTCAGGTTATTGTCCTTAATATGGCAGTTTTACTAAATTAACTTATAGATTCTTTTGGGTTTTCTACATACCCAGTCCTGCCGTTAGTGAATAATGATATTTTTATTTCTTTCCGATTTTTATACATTTTACCATTCTATTTCATCTTGTCTTGCTGCACTGACCAGGACCTCAAGAACAAGGATCAGCAAGCTTTTGTAAAGGACCAGATAAGAAGGAAGCCAACAGTTTCTGTATAAATATATAGTAGATTCTTAAGTGTTATGCTTAAAGGGAGTCAGGATAGTCTATAGATGGAGTCATGAGCAATTTGTACTAATATGAAGGGCTGTACACTATTTTGATAAATTAAAAAGGGCCATTTTTATATGGAATTGAAGGAGGAAAGAATGACTTAGAGCACTGAAAAGAAATGTGGTAAAACAATTGCCCCATGGATTGGCAATTGCTGGAGAGTTTATGATTATATTGAATGTATCTAAGTATGAACTAATGCTTGCTTCTCTTTTTAAATCCCTTTAGGAAAAATAGAAATGAAGGTACATATGCACACAAAATTTTGCCTCATTTGTTTGCTGACATTTATTTTCCATCACTGCAACCATTGCCATGAAGAACATGACCATGGTTCTGAAGAACATCACAGACATCGTCGTGGAATGACAGAATCGGAGTCAAGCAAATTTTCAGTGCTGGATGCTGAAAATGAAAAAAAATATTATATTGAAAAACTTTTTGACCGTTATGGTGAAAATGGAAGATTATCCTTTTTTGGTCTGGAGAAACTTTTAACAAACTTGGGCCTTGGAGAGATAAAAGTAGTTGAGATTAATCATGAGGATCTTGGCCATGATCATGTTTCTCACTTAGATATATTGGCAGTTCAAGAGGGAAAGCATTTTCACTCCCATAACCACCAGCATTCCCACAATCATTTAAATTTAGAAAATCAAACTGTGACTAGTGTATCAACAAAAAGAAACCATAAGTGTGATCCAGAGAAAGAGACAATTGAAGTATCTGTCAAATCTGATGATAAACATATGCATGACCATAGTCATCGCTTATGTCATCACCATTGTTTGCATCATCACCTTGATCATAACACCACTCGCCATTTTCCTAATGATTCCATTGCTCACGGTGAGCGTGGGGAGCCTAGCCATGAACCTTCAACAGAGACCAATAAAACACAGGAACAGTCTGAAAGTAAGCTACCGAAAGGAAAGAGGAAGAGAAAAGGGAAGAAAAGTAATGAAAATTCTGAGGTTATTACACCAGGTTTTCCCCCCAACCATGATCAGGGTGAACAGTATGAGCATAATCGGGTCCATAAACCTGATCGTGTACATAACCCAGGTCATTCTCATGTACGCCTTCCAGAACATAATGGTCATGATCCTGGTCATGGACACCAAGATCTTAATCCTGATAATGAAGGTGAACTTCGACATACTAGAAAGCGAGAAGCACCACACGTTAAAAAAAGTGCAATTTATTCAGCTGCTACTCACAAAGATCATAATGAAGATGACCGTCAACATGAGGTAGGTGTAAAGAGATGGTTGCTCCATAATTCTCAGATAATTGTGGAGCACTTTAGGTAAAAAGAGAAGTAACAGTGGAGAATAATCAATCATATTCAAATTTATTTCCAGATAATGTTCCTGAACAAAATTCATTAAGAAATTAAAATCAGATTAAAAGATTTTATCTGGATTTTCACTTGCAGTGTTCTCAAATTTGGGTTCCTCAAATCTAAATACTTAAAGGTTGTTAGAACATATATCCCTTATTTTACTTCCTTGCTTATGACTTATTTTGACTTCCCAAGTTAGTTTTCATTTTGTTATTGCTAGTTGGTTCTAGATATTCGAAAGTTGAAGCCCTTTTTGTTCACCTGTCCTGTTGGAAAAGAGGCATTTTCTTTTTCATAATTACTTAATGAGTTAACTACAGAATGGTTCCCAGTCATTGATGTAGCTCCAAAGTCAGTTATTTTATATATGTGGTAGGTTTGTTTTCTCTATGTCACTTTATTGTAGGGCCTGCTTCCTCAAAATTAATCTTTTCTCATGCCTTTGACAGATGTAGGGTGAATGCAAAAAGATACAATAATAGGAAAGTCCACTAGTAATGGGATGGTTGTGTTTTCCTTTAACATTTTCATATTCCTTTGAATACTTTCACATTTGATTGGTTCCTTCCCAATTTTTTTTTAATTATTTACCTTAAACATATTTGTTTTTGTTTCATTAAAAGTATATCAACATCCTTATTTAATTCTAATTCTTATTAAAGTTTGGAAAATTGTTGAATTTATTTGTTGTTCACATGTATAAAAAGCAGTACCATCTAATAGGGAAAATGACCTCACCCTTTCTGTTTCTGTCTCTATTACTGAAGTATATTTTGCATCTATGGAAATATCTTTGTGTTTCTTCCCTGTGTAAATAATCAGATACTGGTTTTCAGCAGCACAGATTTTAAAATCACTTATATTTTAGAATCTTAGTGTACTGTAAGGAAATGCTTTTATTTATTTACTACCATAGATAATATCCTAGAATCTTCTGTTGATTGTAACTGGACGTTATCATTAATGTTACTCTTTCTGTCAGACTTATGGGGTCTGTATCAGACATGTTGTTTTATATCCTGACAGGTCTGATGCATATTAGGAATTTTCTCAGGATTTCTAGAAATATTCTATGCATTGGATAGAGTAGTACCTCATGTTAAGACCTGAGAAGAATACTTTTCTTGTTTGAATGTTTTGATTTTGTTTGTTTTTTTACCATAAATAAAATCATACAGTGAGGTAGCAAGTCAGTAAATAAGCATGCAACCAAAGTGTATGTGATGTGTGGGGAAAAAGGCACTCTCTCCTTCACCTTCATTTTAGGTATTTGCTATATGATAGGTCCAAACTTGTTTGCTATTTGTTTTCTGCTTTGTTTTGTTTTGTACTTAAATGTACCAGTGGATGAAGCTTTTATCTTCCAATTTTAGCATTGGGCTAGAGTTCCCCAGTATAATATTTTTCTGGGGTACCTTAGGCAGTGAAAATGTCTATTGTATACTTTAATATAAAGTTGTTAAAGTACTCTATGCCTATTTAATAATCTTGAGTGGTTGATGATTGCACTTTGAATAGGAAAGTGATTTTTCTCTTCACCCTTTATGAATATAGTTGTGAGTGATTTTTATTATTGAGAAAGTCATAATCTTTCATGTGTTGGAGTGGAAAATGGTTAAAAGTCCATGTAAAGTCTTGGGTAATGAAGTTGAATGTATTTCTATCATAAATTCTTAATGAAAAGCTTTATTTGTAATAGATATCTGTATTACAGGTTATTTTCAAATCATATTTAGAGTATTTTTTATTATACAGTAATTTCTTTTTCTGCTTAATCTTCTTAAAATACTTGTTTACTTAATTTGTTTTATCCATTTTTTGCAGTGTTTGAACGTCACTCAGTTGTTAAAATACTATGGTCATGGTGCCAATTCTCCAATCTCACCTGATTTATTTACATATCTTTGCCCTGCTTTATTATATCAAATCGACAGCAGGCTTTGTATTGAACATTTTGACAAGCTTTTAGTTGAAGATTTAAATAAGGATAAAAATCAGGTTCCTGAAGATAAGGCAAATATAGGGGCATCAGGTAAGAAAGATTTAAGTTTTTTTTTCCCTCAAAATAGTCTCTGTACTATTTTAAAAATGTAATTGAATTAGAAAGTAATTCCAAATTACTGTCTTCCTTTTGGTGACTGTTAGTATAGTTTTAGTCAGGATTAGATATGAGTGTTTAAAAAGGATTGGGGCTGGACAAGAGGAACAATACAGTGTACTCGTCTTTTCTGGGATTATGGAGGAAGGTTTTGCTATGGATAGAGAACTAGATTAAAAAGGAAATATAGATTTGTGATAAATGGATTCTTCTTGGTGGGCAAATGTAAATAATGGGGCTGCCAATTAAAGTCATTTGGTATTATAATCACTTAACTCTTTAGCAGAGTTGAGGGCCTCTGGTGAAAAGCTAAGATTAAGTTTATAAGGAAGTAAAAAGGGAAGCCACTGTGGTTAAACTCTGTGAATGTCAGAAATGCCAATAATTGGCAGATGAATTCATTATGGGCAATTTTATAGAGAGCTTCAACAAAAGTAAAAACAAAACTATTTTCAAAATTCTCTCTAGGCTTTTTTTAAACCATATCAGTTTGGCTAGATAGCTCCACCTTGATGCTCACAGCTATCTCCCACTTAATATTTCCAAAACTTCTACTCCACAAAAAGTTTGTACCTCTTACTGAGTCTCAAATGCCATAACAATTCATTTTTTTTTTAAATAAAATCTGAAAATCTTTGACCTTTTTCTCTTATGGTTTTGTTTTTCCTTTTTTCCCTTGCATAATCAGTTGTCAAGTCCAGTTGAGTCTTCTCTTAAATACCTTCTAACTCTATCCACTCCATCATAACTTGGTTCTTGAATGAATTGTTGAAATAACTTCATAACCTTCCCTTTCTAAAATGCAAATGAGATTCTCCAACACAGAGTTTTTTCTTTTTAGTGACAGCTAACATACCTTAATTAACAGGTATTACAGGCATTCTTCTAAACTCAATTGACTTTTACTTCTCACAACAGTTATATAAGGTGGAGAATGTTCTCCTAATAACTTTCCCAAAATCTCAGAACTAGTCAGTGATAGTGCTAGGATTCAAGCTGAGGGAGTTTAGCCATTTTGCTGTCCATGTGCTAAGTGTTTCACGTGCTTCCTCCCCCCCCCTAAATTTTAACAGTATTCTATTGAATTATTTTTGTTTTTGTTTAAAGATTTACTTATTTATTTTAGAGAGAGAGTACACAAGCGAGTGGAGGGGCAAAGGGAGAGGGAGAGAGAGAATCCTCAAGCAGGCTCCCCACTGAGTGCAGAGCCAGACTCAGGCCTAGATCCCCTGAGATCATGACCAGAGCCGAAATCAAGAGTTGAACCCTTAACCAATTGAGCCACCCAGGCGCCCCACTGTGTTGAATTATTATATGAGGGAGCTATTATATGATTCTTATTCTTACAGACATGGAAACTGTGGTATAGATAAATGATAGAGCCCACCAGGCCTAAGGTTTGTCATAAATCCTCTGGGCAGTCAATCACTATGCTATTATCTTCCAAATTTAGTTAATTTGGATATCACCTTTATAATTTTGCCATGTATCTTTATACTATTTAATATTTTTCATTAGATCTCTAGTGTTTTTCATTATATCTTTTATATTGTAAGCAGTAATGTCTATGAGAATGTGGATTTGTTGTGATGTGCTAGTTATATTTTTTTCTCCTATATTTTAGGAAACTGCATTATGTTACATTGTTCAAATTTTGGAGTCCTTTACTTGGCTGGTCAGGCTTTCTAGGATATGATCCCTGCCTGCCTACTTCTCTATCCTTATCCCCCACCATTCCTTTCTTTCCTCTCAGCCCTAACCATAACAAACTCCTGATGATAGATATTCTGTTTTTCCCTCATTTATCTCTGCCTTTTCACATTCTGAACCTTTCTATTTGAGTGACTACTATGATTTCTCAAAGATTCAGCTCAAGGCTTAGACCCTCTGGGATAACTTACTAACCATCCTAGGTTTAATTAAGTTCTGTTCCTGACACCCTCTGAATATCTCCATCCCAGTACAGAGCTTGGGGGATTTTCATAATTGGATTTGTTATCTGTTTTTTGTTGGACTTCAGTTGCTTAAAGGGCCTTTTGAACAAAAAGAAAGCATTCAGATATTGATTGAATGAATAAATTACTTAATATTAATCTGTAAGCTTTCAGTTATAACCCAGGAAAGACCCTTGTTGAAAATGAGTCTTTAAAGATCATTTTATGAATGCATTTGACCTTTGAACAACACAGATTTGAGCTTAATGTGTACACTTGTATGCAGATATTTTTCAATAAATATACTGGAAAGTTTCTTGAAGGTTCGCAACAATTTGAAAAAACACACAGATGAACCGTGAAGCCTAGAAATACTGAAGAAATTAAGAAAAAGGTATTATTGTAAGAATACAGTATATAACACATATACAAAATATGTGTTGTTTATTTATGTTAACAGTAAGGCTTCCAGTCAACGGTAGGCTATTAATAATTAAATTTGGGGGGAGTTAAAAGTTGTAGTTGGATTTTTGGCTGCATGTGCAGGGGCAGGGGTTTGTCCCCTAACCCCACATTGTTCAAAGGTCAATTGTATATCAGGCAGCTTAGTATACTTTGATAATACAGTCTTAGAATGAGATTCATGAACTTCATCATGTGCAAAATCACAGTGAGGGCAGTTCTGGTTGAAATGCCCAAGATGGAGTGGCACTGTTGCATAGTAATGAAAGTAACTAAATAGATATGTGTGAATATGGGCCAAAAATGGGATTCTGACAAGATAAAAGATTGGAAGGGCAGAATTTAAAAATATTTCATAGCATAGGAATAAGATAGACATGTTTAAGAATATCACAGCCCAATATACATATAAGAGTTTTATTTGGGATAGAGATATTCTTTTTTTTTTTTTAAAGATTTTATTTTTATTTATTTGAGAGAGAGAGAATGAGAGACAGAGAGCATGAGAGGGAGGAGGGTCAGAGGGAGAAGCAGACTCCCTGCTGAGCAGGGAGCCCGATGCGGGACTCGATCCCGGGACTCCAGGATCATGACCTGAGCCGAAGGCAGTCGCTTAACCAACTGAGCCACCCAGGCACCCCTGGGATAGAGATATTCTTTATTAAAGTTTCAAAGAATACAAGTGAAAGGAAATGCTCTCAATACATAACAAAGTCAGTCTCATAGGTACCTATCTATCTACTGGTTAATTTCTTTGCAGTAGGAAAATAACTTTAGAATAGATAAATTATAATAGTCTATATTTATTGGAACCATACCATGTACTCTTCTAAATACTTTTACAAGGATATTTAATTTGTTAAACCCATGAGGTGGACACTTTTATTTACTTCTATTTGCTGAGGAAAGGAGGCTTTGAAAAGTTAAGGAACTTGTCCAAGGTCACATAGATGCCAGTTAGCAGAGCTATGATATGAACTAGAGTATTCTCCATCTAAAGCTTGAAATTGTAACCTGTATGCCCCTCTTCATTCCTGCTAAAAAGGTTCTTAAGTCTGCTTTGCTAGCATAAGTGACTGGGAGATACAGAGAGTTATATATAGTTATATTTGGTAGTGCTTTGACAGGTAATGCAGACATAGGCAGCAAAGTGGTAGACGTAAGTGTTAGTATAAGTAAGTATTGCTATAAGTATAGATTAGTAAAACAAAACAAAACCCCCAAGAATAGTCTTGTTAGGAAGTACCTATTCAGTCAGGTAAGATCAGTAAAAACGGAGAAAGTGAGTCCACATAGTAGCTTTGAATTCTGGTCTTTGGACAGATAAAATATGTTCCCTTTGCTGGCTTCATGTTCAGTGATCTTTGTAGATGAGTAAACGTCTTAAGAGCCACAGTCTCTGAGGTGCTTATAAATTCTCACTGAGGCAGTAGAAAAGGGGAAGTTAGGTCTGAGATTATTTGGCTTAAATTAAAAATAAAACACATTTGTTGTTTACATGGAAAAACTGATAGGATTGTCACATCTAGAGTTAAAACTAGTAGCCTATTTTTAATTTTAAGGCTTCTAAGAAATTCTAGTCGTTTTTACATCAACTGTGGATTATGTCAAAGTTTTCTGTGTTTTAATATTGACATAATCTCTGTATTTTAACAGAGCTGTTGACAGATGCTTGACAGTCATAATATTGAAAATTAGTTTATTCAATCTGAAAAGCCTTAGAGGAAATTATACTTATTTTGGAAACAAATATATAACTAATAGTGAATATTGATTAGTTGTTTGCCGGTGGTTATTAGCACTGTCAGGAATGAAGCTTGAATTAACTATATCTTGATAGATGTTAAAATTTTTGAGAGAATGCCCTGCTAGTAATTATTTTTAATGACTGCTGCACCATTAAGAAAGGTTAACTTGTTCCATATAAGTCTCCCATAGTGACACAGCCACTATCGTTACTGTTCAAAGACTGCTGTAAACCAAGTATGCCATTTACTGTGTATGGTAGAAATCGTTTGTTTCACAAGATTGGGTCATTTAGCCATAGAGTTGACCCTAGCTTAATTACCAAGGGGTGGGTGCGGTTGTGAATAGGCCGCTAAGCATTTTCTGCCAATTAAAATGCTGAAACAGTGTAGAAAACTGCCATCTTGCACATGCTTTGAACCGAGTTAATTAGGAAGTTTCCATAGATGAGCGCTTCTTTTAAAAGAATGCATTTTCTCCCTAGATAATGAGAAATGGAGTTGATGAATAACAAGCTTGAAGACCTTTAACGTTTTAAGTGACCTAATTTGCAGAAAATAAGTGAAACTTGTTTCAGACATTTAATGTTTTTTATTGTATATGGTATCTTGGGTATAAATAAAGGAAACATTTGTTAGTTGCATTTAATAGTTTGCATATTGTTTTGCATAAGTTTTAAAAAAGATGCCTATTTGTTGTTTTGGGACTTTTTTTTTTTTTTGGTTTGCTTTATACTAAACAAGTTGTGATTTAAAAGCACAATAATTTGGTTAGAAATTAGATAAATTTTAT